GGGGGGTGGGGTGGGCAGCACCATCGATATGAGTGGGCGGGGGGGGGGCGCTGTGCTTCCTGTTGCCATTCCATTTGAATCCCTGGGATGTCCCCTGTCCAGCACCAGGCCCTACAGAAAAGGAGTGGATAGCGAGAAAGCAGGGCGTAGTCGTTACCTTCAAGGGGTTAATCATTGTACTGGAGGATGCAGCAGTCCGAGAATAGTGGGAGACTCTGGAGATGGGTGCAGGTTGGACAGGAATCTGCCCTGGAGATAGAGGGTCGGCAGGGTGGGCTTTCAGATAAAGGTGAAGGGAGGGACACTAGGCCCAGCTTCCAGAAGATGCAGTGACTGGGCTGGAACAGAGAAGAGTACGCTTTGGCTTAACAATAAAACCAGGGGCGCCTGGCTGGTTCAGTCAGTAGAGCACGTACGGGACTCTTGATCTCAGGGCCCTGAGTTCAAGCCCCTGGTGGGCATGGAGCCTCCTTTGGCAACAAAACCGGTTTGGTTTTAGAGCTAGCAGCCTCACTACTGTCGGCTTTCACCTCCCTGGCCAGTGGTCCAGTGGCAGCCCCTGGGTCATCCTGGGGGAGCATCTAGCACGGGACCCATGGGGCGCTGACCTCTGAATCAGGACATCCAAGCTATCTGGAAGTGTGCAGCGCTTGAAAGTACTTTGCAAGATGATTTGCCCTGAGAGAATGCGGCAGAATGGTCCTTTACGTAGGTCACCATGGCGTGTGAGGGACTACAGCGTTGCCTAACACGCCCCTTTGCTTTTCTCTTCTCTCCTGAAAAACAGAATGTTGGGAAGGTGGTCACCAAGGGATGCCGCTACGTGGTCATCGGCCTGCAAGGCTTCGCTGCGGCCTACTCTGCCCCGTTTGGAGTAGCCACCAGCGTGGTCACGTTCGTCCGCTAGTGGGAGCTGCGGGGGCAGACTCACCAGCACGGATGGAAGCTCCGCTCTGGGACCATCTCAGACCTGAACCCACAGAATCCTTGGAGGAAATCAATGTCTTTCCTTGTTGCATTGGATGAATGTTAGGAATGGAACGTCCCTGCCCGTCCGCTGAGCTTTTCTCATGACTCTAGGACGCCTGTGGCTCCGATGGACAATCCCGCAGAGAATCAGGCCCATGTTAGGTTTGGGGTTACAGTGTGCAAACACCGAAGGCTTCATGCGGAGGTGGCAGGGGGCTGGCCCGGAGGCAGACACCTGGCAGACGGGAGCACTCTGGGTGGGTAGTGGAGGGGTGATTACAAGGCGGGACGGGGATTTTGACGATTTGTTATGTTCTGGAAGGGTCGCAGGCTGACATGGCGCTCACAGCCCTTGGCTGCCTCGGTTCTGGGGCCAGCAGAGAAGCTGTTTGTCATGTGCCCCAGCTCCTTTCTCCACCCCTTTGTCACCAGGGGTATAATTATGGGCTTGAGAAGAAGGAAGGAAGGAAAATCTCTTTGAAGGTGGGGATGCTTTGAAAACTGTTGATGACGTGTGTGACTGTTTAAAGCAGATAAAGCTTGTGATCCCCCCCTGCCCTCCCCTCCGCCCACCCCCCCAGTGACAGGAATGTGTTGCTGGCCTGGTGGGAGGAAGGGGGCGCAGAGGCAGGCTGGTGTAGTGTAGAGGTGGCTGGAGGGAGCCATGCCATGGGGCCCGGGCCAGGCCAGTGGCTGGCCGATGGCCGGGCCTCCTGACTCAGCTGCCAGGCACCATCACCGACTGCACCTAGCCACCCAGAGGCGTTTTGTCTTGGGAGAGAGGGAGACGTGGTGCCTGGCAAGGAAAGTGTGTGATTTAGAGAAGGAACCAGTAAGTAGGAGACAGGTGTGCTGGAAGTAGAAAGATGGTGGACAGGAGGAGCGGAAGGTGGGGAGCCAGGCCTGGTTTATCAGCCCTGGGAAACCTTAGGTGGGCTGGGCTTGCAGCTCCGGGTAGGGACCAGGGATGCTGGGGGGCTAGGGGTGCCATGGCTGGTGCTGAAAGTCCCCCTGGGGCCCATGAGCTCTCGCTGGCTGCCTTTTGTAGCATCCTTTCCTCTTTGGGGCTGCCAAGCTGGTCCGCATCTCACCTGGATTCAGAGCTCAGTGCCGCATGGGTCCTGGGCTGGACACTCCACCCGGGATGACCCAGGGACTGCCATTGGATCATTGGCCAGGGAGGGGAAAGAAAGAGGAGGCTCCTCTTACCGTACCCCTCCGCCAACCCCCGTGATAGGCTCCTGTTCGGACTGTTGCCAGAATATCCAGAAGCCCAAATAGTTGTTGCTGATCAGTCTGTAGGGTGGGCGGCAGCACCTGCGTGTTGCCCTGAGCAGTTCCCCAGGCCTTGGCAGAGGAGGCCTCGGTGCTCATGCCTCACCGGTCAGGCCAACCAGGTGGCACCAGAACGTGGAGAAGGTGACTGGGGAAGACAGACAGATGGACAGAAAAAGGAACCAGTGTAGGAGAGGGTTGTAGCTAGACATTCTGGAGGCTCAGGTTGAAGATGAACTTAGATCCAGTTCTGCATCATTAATATTTGTGAGGAAAAGAGAAAACAAACGGTCTTGTTTTCACTCAAATGCTGAAAGAGGATAACAGCTGGCCTGAGCACACTGAGACTCGGGGAAAAGAGACCAAAGTGGGAGGAAAAGCCAAGCAGAGTTTAGTGGGAGAGCCAGGCCTCTGCAGCCCACAGGTGACAGGAGGAGGCAGCCTGTGAGGGGCTCGGAGCATGTCCCTCCCTGGCGGCCCAGGGATGCTGACCCGCCCTGGAGAAGTCTGCTGAGTCCCCTCGGAGGAACGGAAGTGTGACCCTGGAAGGGACCAGAGCTGCCAAGGCCTGTCCGGTGAAGACCTTCCCCATCCCATCCCCAAACTGGAGACACTATCAGGCCAGGTATATTTGGCCCAGAAATTGGAATCGTCTGATTAAGAATCAGCCTAGAAATGTCATCAGTCAGAACCTCGCAGGGATTGTCCCGGGAGCCAGATGCCTGTGTACAGAAGATGACCTTGTCCAAACTCCCAGAGGGTTCGTTTCCCCCGGGGACAGGGCATCCGTGTTGCAGATTACCTTTTTGCCTGTTTCTCTGTCTTCAGTTTTTTTTTTTTTTCTTTAAATATCCGGGTCCACACCCTACTGAGAATTGAGTTTTAGAGCTTTGCCTTTACACGCTTGACCAAGAAGCTTCTTTTGTATCCTTTTCCTGGTCTATAATGTAAATAAAACCCTCAATTTGTGGAACGTGTCTGTGTGTGAAGTTTTTCTCCCCCTCACTTTCCAGCCTTGCTTGAGGTTCCTGCAGCGTCCCGCCAAGGCTGACTTCACACGGGGACCTCCCTGGGGCACCCAAGCCACCACGAGGAGCCCAGTGCTGCCCCAAGGCCCAAGGGGAGGGAAAGGGTCCGCGATTCATCTGGAACTCTGCTTAGGTCTTAAGGAGGGGAAGGGGGGGCGGTTCTCAGGAAACCCAGCAGAATAGGGTTCAGCTGAGACTCCTGTCTCAGCTCCTGCATTTGTTGGAAGTGAACATTTCCAGAACGTCCAATAGTTGAAAACTGACTGCTGTGCCCCGGAGCCAAAATAGGTAGCTTGAAGACAGAGTCTGGGTTTATTACTTTGCCAGGCAAAGGAGACTGCAGCTGGCTAGTGCCTCCAAGACTGCAAGCCCACCCAGGGTAAAAAGGCTGAGGAGTCTTAGAGAAAAACGCAGGATCGGGGCAGATTCAATAGGAATCTGTTTACCCTGTCTTCAAAATGGCTCTGGCCATCGGAGTGTTGTTACTACGTTACTACGTATCAGCATCGTACCGAGCTCCTGGAATGAAGGATTTTACAGAAAAGCGAAGGGGGGAGAGGGAGAGGCTTCAGGAACGAAGAGAGAAACTTGTTTAAAGTCACGCCTTGCTAAAGCATGAGTGTGTCCATCTTAATTTCCGTCCATCTTTACATTTCTATTGGGGTTTCACGATTTTGATTGAGAGGCTCGGGTGGGACCAGGAAGCTGCGTTTTTCACTAGTGGCTTAGAAGATGGGGAGATGCTGGCCCCCGGGGGCTGCTGCAGGTTGCAACTGCCAGTGGACTCCCCAGGTGGGAGCCTGGGATCTGACCTGAGCCGGGGGTGGGGGCGGGGGAGGGGGACCTGGCAGGTGCCAGCCCCAGGCGAGGCATATGTAACATGCCCTTTGACTGAGTCTCCACAGAAGCGGTGGGAAAGGGCTTGGTGGGAGGGAAGTGTACACAGTGCAGCCAGTGGGGATGTGTGAGTTTTCCGACACCACCAAGCAGCTATCTGACACCAGTTGGGTGTTCTACAGTTTAATTCCATTCTAGCACTATTCTCTGGAGAGAGCATCGGAGATCCCACAGATGGAAGGGCTTAGTCCTACAAGACTGGTCCAAGTTGCCACGTGTGCTTTTGATGGACCAGCTAAAGATCGGAAGTTCCAACAACACCCTCCTTGGGTTCTGTTAATTTGATAGAGCGGCACACAGAACTGGGAGGAACGTTTTACTCCCTTTACCTGTTTATTATAAAAAGGATCCAACTCAGGAGCAGCTGGATGGAAGAGATGCACAGGGCAAGGTCTGAGGAGAGGGTACAGAGCTTCCATGCCTCTCCAAACACACCCATCTCCCCAAATCTCCAGTGTGTTCACCAACCTGGAAGGTCTCCCGAAGCCTGTTTTTAGGGAGACATCATTACGTAGGGTGATTGATTAAGCCAGTGGCAATTGATAATAGAATTCAATGTCCATCCCCTCTCCTCTCCCAGGAGTTCTGGAGGGAGGTGGAAAGTTCCAAATCTTTTAATCACAGGGTTGGTTCTTTGGGCAACATGGAGGCTTGCCTCTTAGCATAACAAAAGACACCTTGCCTGCTCTCAGGACTTAGAAATTCCAAAAGGGTTTTAGGAGCTTGTGCCAGGAACAAGGACCAAGACCAACTCTGTATTTCTTTCTTTCTTTTAAGATTTTACTTATTTGAGACAGAGCATAAACGGGGGGGGGGGGGGGGAACAGTGGGAGAGGGAGAAGCAGGCTCCCCGCTGAGCCGGGAGCCGGATGCGGGACTGGATCCCAGGACCCTGGGATCATGACCTGAGCCAAAGGCAGACGCTTCACAGATTGAGCCACCCAGGTGTCCCACCAACTATATATTTCTGATTATGAATCACAATAACACAAGCAGGTCAAGAGAAGCAGAGTGGTCCTGGGTTGCCTCAGATTATACTCCCTGGCAGGGCGGGGGTCAGGTGTGTCCACCGGCTGTTAGGCATAGAGCAAAGCAGGAAGTGGGGGACCTTGGTATCTTCAGCCACTTTGGAATCGCCCCTTTCTGCCCCGCACCTGCACTTTATCAGAAAACCCCCGACTGGCGTCTGTGACCAAGAAGCAGGACCTGAGCTCAGGCCTCCTGCACCCTCCAGTAGTCCTCCAGGCACAGCGGCGCCCTCGCAGACAGTGGTCCTGGGGCTGGGAAACCCTCCCAGCAGGCTCAGATTCAGGGAGCTGCTGCTGTGGGGTTTGCCCCCACGATGTCCTCCCCCCACCCCCCGCCTCTGCAGGAGCACCGATAAACTGAATTTAACTTTGTGATGCCATCATCCTCAAACTTTTTTTTTTTTTAAGATTGATTTATTTATTTATTTGACAGAGAGAGACACAGCGAGAGAGGGAACACAAGCAGGGGGAGTGGGAGAGGGAGAAGCAGGCTTCCCGCGGAGCAGGGAGCCTGATTTGGGGCTCGGTCCCAGGACCCTGGGACCATGACCCGAGCCAAAGGCAGACACCCAACTGACTGAGCCACCCAGGTGCCCCCCCAAACTTTTGAAAACTTTATAGCTCTCTCTGTAAATGTATTTTATAATACAAATTATATACAGAGTTAAAGGGGAAAAATAATGCCCTCAGCATCCTTGTAAAGGCCGTATTTGAGAGATTCTGTGGTTTGCCCAAAAGCCTGAGAAAAAACAAAATCTTCAAATTCCTTTGACCATTCACGGGGAAATGTGGGGAAAAATAATACGTGGGATGTTTTTTTTTTTAGGAGGCAAGGTTTTTGAGCCAAATCACTCCACTGAAGTTCACCAGGAAAAGGAGGTCTCTTCAGATTTTCTAGAAGGCTCAGTGCCAGAGCCTGGTAGGTGTGAAAGCCACAGAGGGGCAGGTCTTGGAGGGGAAGGGAGGAGGGCAGAACAAAAGTTTGGTTGCTGGATGTCCAGGCCTAATCTCCCCTGCAGGAGTGCTCAGCACCTTGCACCCTGCAGCTCCATCTGGGACACAAATTAGGGTCAGAATTCAACACCGCCAGGACTGGCTTGGCTGTTTTGTTTTTTTAACAGGCGTTTCTCAGGTGATTCGCTTGCATAACCTGCTGACAAGGCTCTAAACAAGCGTGTCTGGTTCAAAGCTGATACAGAAATGAGGCCCAAAGTACAGACGGAGCAAAGAGCGAGCCCTTCCTTTTACTGGGTCTTTAAATCCAGAGCAAACCCCTTCCAACCAGACCTGCTTTCTCCATTCAAAATGCGGGGAGGCTCTGACAGTTAAGCCTCTACCTTCCGCTCAGGTCATGGTCCTGAGGTCCTGGGACGGAGCCCCACATCGAGTGGGG